ATGCAAACTAATTCATAGCGATAGGAAGACTATCAGAGGTTACCTGGGGATGAACAAGGAGGGGCACCTAGGGAAGGAGGGATTTATTAAGGGGCCCAAACATCTTTTGGGGGTGATGGATATTCATTATCTGCATTGGCAGCAGTTTGCCCACAGCCCCAAAACTCTTTGAGACTTGGACCTGTGGATTCACAGCATTCCATAGAAATAGCCTGATAGGAGCTGCCTTCCAGAAACAGACTTCCAGGCCTCTCTGCACCTACCAAAGTAGTGTAGCAGAATGCTTAACAGCACATAGACCTAGCCTAGAACTATTCAAGCACTACCACTTTTCAGTGGGGCAGTTTTAGGGACACTGTCTACCCTCTGTGAGGCCGAGTTTCCTCTTCAGTAAGATGGAATAAAGGAATCTACCTCAGGGTGGTTTTCAGAAACTGAGTTCATGCATGTAACACAGGGCATGACATATTTTAAATGTTAAATAAATGTTCTAAGCTATTACTGTTACCTCCATCCCCCTTTCCTGGGGATTCCTCCCTCTTCCATCTTCATGACTCTTATACAGGACCTCACCTCAAGTTTCCTGACCACTCTTCCAGAAATCCAAGGCACAAAGTGTCTAGATCAGGGGTCCCCAACCCCCAGGCCATGGACCGGTAGCGGTCTGTGGCCTCTTAGGAACCAGGCCGCACAGCAGGAGGTGAGCGGCCCGGCCAGTTAGCGAAGCTTCATCTGTATTTACAGCCGCTCCCCATCACTCAAATTACTCCCTGAGCTTGGCCTCCTGTCGACATTATGGTGAACTGTATGATTATTTCAGTATATATTACAATGTCACTAACAATAGTAGAAATAAAGTGCACAATGAGTGTAATGCACTTGAATCATCCTGAAACCACCACCCACCCCCTTCCGTGGAAAACCTGTCTTCCACAAAACCAGCCCCTGGTGCCAAAATGGTTGGGGACCGCTGGTCTACATGGTCCAGCTCTGAAATGGAGCAGGACTCTATGGTCCTTCCCGCCCATGTCCTCTGCCTGCGTTTTGTCTGTGGAAAAACTTCAGCCAAAGAATAAGTTTAATCAGAGAAGCGAGAAAATGCAGAAGCAAAGGAAAGCAGTCCGACAAGACTAAATAATAATAGTTTAGTCAATAAGCATAGCTAAGGACCTTCAGTTCCTTCTCAAGGGCTATAGATAATATTCTGAGCCATATCCTGTGAGCTGTCTTGTAGATACTCTCTGTGTATCTACAGATAAAACGCCCACCAGGTGGAAAAAGTTAACTACATGATGACCAGACTGTAGCCATGACATAAGCTGCCATTCCGAGAACTGGCCTCAAGAAAATGGAAACAAACCGACCCTGGAACTGAAGATCAACTGTACTTAAAACAATGAAGACGATGCTGGTCAGACCACCAATGACCAATTTCAAGGTGACTGTCAACAGCCGACTGTGCTGTTTCTGTTGCGGCCCCCTCCCCTCCATCTATAAAAGCTCTTGCCCACTGGTTGGGGGGGTGGGGGGGTCGGCCTTCAGACAGGAGCACCCCCCGCCCCGCCACCCCCCGCCTCCGTTGCTGGCATCCAAAATAAAGCAAGCTTTCCTTTTACCAACCTGGCCTCTTTACTGGCTTTTGAGCGGCGAGCAGCTGGACCCCACTTTTGGTTACAATTCTATGCCATACAATATAGTAGCTACTAGCCACATACCGCTGTCAAGCACTTAAAACGTGGTTACTCTAAACTGAGATGGGCGGCAACTTGAAAATACACATCAGAGTCTGAAAACAGTATAAACATAAGAATGTAAAATATCTCAATAATTTTACATTCATTGCGTACTGAAATATGTTATGTAATTGGTTAAATATATTGTTAAAATTAATTTTCACTTTTTAAAAACCTTTTTTAATATGGCTCCTAGGAAATTTTAAGTTACATATGTGGCTCACATTACGTATACATTTCTATTGGTTACTGCTGGTCAAGTTAGACTAACAGCTCCAAGCTTGTATTGCTCCTTCCCCCATCAGTAGTTTAGTCTCCCCAGGGTGAGTGTACCTGTCATTGCTTCACAAAGTCTCAGGTGGCCCAAGGAATGAGGGAGCTTTAAGCAATGCCTAGTCGCAATAGTCACCTCCTGCCCCAATCTGCCTACAAAATCGACCCAATGGTCACACAAACTCAAATCCTTCCAATGCCAATAAACCCACCAACTCCCAACGCAGCCCTTTTTATCTTTGGACAACTCCTGCGAAAGAGACACTTCTTCCTTATACTAATGAAGATCGACCTCTCCAGAGGACTAATCTTATTAGCCCTACTTTACCTCTGAGCCATTCAGAAAAGGCTCAAGACCTGGAAAAAAACTACCATTCGCAGATCACTTACAATGTACTGTGTAAATTTTAGTTTACTATTGTTTTTTGTTACTAGTTTACTATTGTGTAAATGTAGAAATTTAGTAGGCACTTATATTTAACCCACATAGCAAAAGAAGGAGGTACTGCAGTTGTCTATCTCCATTTTATAATAGCGTCTGCAGGGCTCAGAGAAATAAAGTGACCTGCCTAGGGCACCAATCAGGACATGGCCTATTTCTACCCAGAGCTAGCCGACTTCTAAAAACCTTCACTCAACAGTGCTTTTGTGGTCATGCTCCCAACATTCCCGTCTCCCAGCCAACCAGCCTGTTAGCAGCCACAAGCTCAATCCAGAAGCAATCTTGCCCTGGCCGCCAGGTAAGGATGCCCTTACCTGTCTCAGCAGCCCCAAGGATGTCCAGTTTGTCACGAATGGCAGGTGCCAAGGTCAGAGCTTGGACTGGTGTGGGGGCAGAGAAGCCTAGGAAGCTGAGCGCTCGGAGAACTGGCTTGGGTACAAAGAGATCCTTCCAAGCTGATACATCTGCCTTGTGATCATGCATTTCAGGCATCCAGGTCTTTGCTTTTTTGGGCGCCTTTGGAGTAGTACCCTGGGAAGGCTCTGGGTTTTTTTTCCCTTTCTTGTTCTTCTTTTTTGGAACCGTCTGGGCCGGGCTTTCTGATGCCATCTCCCCTACCTCTAGATCAGGACAAACTGTGCCATCTCCCTGGGGCCCTGGCTCAGTATCTTTGCCCTCAAACACTTTCTGGGCACTGGTTCCTTCAGTTTCCAGATCTTTACTCTTCTTCAACTTCATCTTTTTCTTTGAGGAGGTAGACTCTCCTTCCTCCTCTCCTTCTGAAACAGCTTGTGCCTTTCTCTTCTTGGGCTCCTCCTTTGAGAAGAGACTGGAGGAACTCTCCGCAGAGGAGACCAACTGATAATCCGTCAGTTCCTCAAAGCACACCAAGTCATCCATCTGTCCGTCTGCAAACATATTTGGGTCAATCTTCACCTGCTTCCATTTTCCCACAACTTTGATGCCCTTCCTCTGAATTCGGCCATAGTTTGATGGCTTTGGTCTCGATTTTTTCTCTTTCAACTTCATGGTTGCTGAAAAGGAGAGAAATGTTCCACTAGATTTGCAACTGAGAAGCACAGGGCTCTGAGGCAACAAATATTTTCTAAGCAGCCTATAGAGTATCAGGCCCTGCAAAGAAGTGGACACAAAGATGGCTCTAACGGTGATGCTGCCAGCTAGAGAAGATCAAAGAAGGAAAGAAATGTACCCACACAGTGGGCAGCTTGGTCTGCAACAGAGGGGACACAGGAGGTGTAGCAAAGACACATGAGCTAGATCTGGTTTGGATTCCAGATTCAACACTGACTGTGCGTGTGCCCTTGGCAGGTCCTGCTTAATCCTCTCTGAACCTCAGTGTTCTCGTATTTTAAAAAGGGGGGAGGGGTTTACTAGCTAAGTCCCAAAATGTTCTCTGCAATAAATAACATTATGTAAAGCATGGAGGGTGAAGCCTGCCACACCCAAGCCATTTTGAAGGCTGAATAAGTATCTGCGGGGAGTCGCTGGAGGGTGGGTGAGGAGGGCAGCTTTACTAAGAGTGCACAGAGCTTTCTTCCTTCTCAAGCCTTGCCCCAAGAGGGCAGATGCCTTTGCCAAATGGCTTAAAACCCAACCAGCTTTTTCATTACCTTTTAAGTGATTTAAAAACAAGTGATCTATGCACAAGTCGTCAGACTGGAACTCGAGCCACGTTCTCCCTTTTCAGAAAGGCCGAGAAAACGAGATCCTGTGGAAAGACAAAGGGAAATCTTGGTTCAAATCTGAACCCGTCACTGGCCAGCTCTGGGTCTGGGGTGCACGTATTAATCACTGTGAGCCTCAGTTCCTCGTCTGGAAAATGGGTATGATGAGGGTCTGTGTCTCCTTGGAACATCACGCGAAGACAAAAAGATGACGCAGGTCCAGAACCGCTCAGCATGGCGCCCCGACGGCAAAGCAAACCAGAGCGCAACGAAGGTTCACCCCCAGCATCGGCTACGCCGCGATCACAATCAACCCGGATCAACGACGGGGGGTAGGAGGGAGGCACATGGGGGCGAGGACGCGGACTGCGACCCGCAGAGCAAGCAGGAGGGGGTCCCTCCTCCTGGCGCCCGGCCAGGCGCCCGGCGTTGGCGCCTCGTGTCAGGCACGAACCGGCTCACGAAGCTGAGAAACCGAGGGGACCCCGGCGCAGGGTCGGCCAGGCCGCTTGATGAGGCCGGCGGCCGCCCTCTCTGGTCCCGAGAACCCAACGGCCTGGAAAGACCCGCGCTGCGCGGCCGCCTCCAGCTCCTCTCGGGTGCCGGGTCCGGTCCCGGCCCCGCTCCGGCTCCGGCCTTGGTACTCACCGTGTAGGGACGCCGACTAACCGCCTCAGACACTGCCGCACCAGCCCTCCTCGGCAGCGTCCACCGCAGTTCCGGGGAGGGGCTTGCGCCCACGCACGCGTGCGCATTGGGAAGGAAGTCCCGCCCCCATTCTAGACCCCGCACTTAATTCGCTGCGCGCGGCGGGCTTCCGCAGTGCGGGTACCAAGAGCGCAGACGGTGAGTGTAAGGGGCCGCGCTGATAGGTCCTCCTCTCGGGCTTAGGGAGCGGGAGCAACAGGTGGAGCCCGCCGTACTTCCTCTGAAGGGGCTCTGTTCTAGCTCAGGTATGGGAACGTAAGTTCTTGTATTCTTGCTTTGGTTTTAGTGCAGTGGCTGTTTACGTACTGGCTGTATGCCTGGAGCCTCGCAAAAGTTTTAGCATGTAATTTACAACTCAACCAGCCTGTATTGGAGGTGTTGTTTTCGCTAGGTTTTCATGCCTCGCCTGTTGCTCACTGATGGTTGGGGAGGGTCGGGCTGCCTCCAGTAATCAAGCTAAACTGGGTCCTTTGTTATATGCAGAGAAATCAGCTTCACGGTAGTTACTCTGTTTTTCGAGGTGGGGATCACCAGACCATCTGGGAAACCTTTCCCATACAGTGTCTCTATGTCCGGTGACTTTGGGAAGTCCTAAAGGACAACGGGGGAATTCACCAAGCTTAGGTCGAGTGAGCCTCCCCACCACCCCGGAGCCACCATGGGACACAGCTCAACTCATTTCTTGGAGGAACTTGCCAGTGTGTCCCCAAGAGCCTGGGTGGCATAGTCTGCGCCCAGCTGGCGCCTGAAGTCCACGGGGACTGCACTTCCTGTGCTCCGGACTTCCTCATAGGTACTTTTCCATCTGGCTGTTCATTTGTATCCTTTAATAGCCTTTGTAATAAATCAGTAATGGTGAGTAAAGTGCTTTCGTGAGATCTGTGAGCCTTTTGGCAAATTATCAAACCCAAGGAAGAGGTCATGTAACTGAACCCAAGTCTGTGTGCCTGACGAACAGTGAGGCCAAACAATACCAAAACGTCATTTTGGAGCAGAGAAAGGTATATTGCAGGGTCCTGCAAGGAGACGGGTGACTCATGCCTTAAAAACCCAGAACTCCCCAAGCTTTCAGCAAAGCCCTTTTATAGGAAGGGTGAGGGAGGGGCGTGGTTAGTGTTTGCAAACTTCTGGGTGTCACATCCTTCGTTCTTGAGGTCAGGTCACGGTCACCATGTTCCTGTAAACCTCCACCAAACAAAGGTTATTCTCTGTTCTGACAAGGAAGGGCAAGGTCCCAAGGCACAACTTTCACCTTCCAAGGTCCAGGCAGTGCTTAAGAGGAGGGGGTCTCTGTGCAGACAGGTTACCCTGCCCGGGACCCTTAGTCCAGCACCCAGTCTGGGTTCTCCCGCGAGTGCCCAGGCCCTGCTAAGGAGGCAGATCTCAGCTTGTGGCGCCCTCTGGGCCAGGTCCCCAAACCCTGCCCAGCCGTCATCACTGAGGGACCCAGGCGCCCAGAACCCCAAGAGTTCGACCCAAACAACCCAAAAAACCTGTTCTGCTTAAGTTACCTGGAGTGACTTCTGTTATCTGCAGCCAAACCCTGACTAACAGGTGCATGGAACACATACACACAGTTTTCTCTTTTAAAAATTATTTTTAGTATTAGCAGATTGAACACATTTTCCAATATTTATTGGCCATGTATAATTCTTTTTTTAGGAACCACCTCTTCTAGTCTGAGTTCCTTTTTAAAGACAGTTCTTTTGAAAAATTGTTTCATAAAAACTTTCTTTACATTGGGGATTCTAATGATGCAAAGGGTATTGTGGGTTATTTTCCCCTCTCAGTAGATTACATGTCTCTTACCCTTGTTTGTGGTGTTTTTAATGTCACATGTGGTCTGATGGTACCAGTCTCTTCTGTTCCATAGGTTGTCTTTCTGTCTTCTAGTGACAGGAAATTCACAGAAACCAATAGGCCTGTTTCTCCAGGAGGGGGATGCCTCTCATGCCTTGAATTCTGCCAGGAAAGTAGATTGGATACCAAGTGACGAGGAAGAATGTTGTAGTTTATCTTAGGACAGGGCCGAAAGTAAGCTCATCACACGAGATGAATTGTGCCGAAGCACAGCAGTAGAGGGCTGCCGCTCGCTCAGGCAAAAACAGCGCCGTCTGTCCTGCTGTGGTAGCTTTTATTAAAGCATTATCTAGGTTTACACTTTAAGACTTGTTTTCTTAACATTTCAGAAGTGCCAAAGCAGCAACCTATGTTTTTATTAATTATAGAAGCAATAATTGGCTTTCGTGAGCACCTGCCGTGCTTCGTCCTTGAGCGCAAAAGCAGCACAGAGTTCCCACCATTATTCTGATTATACTGAAGTAGCACAAGGACATTTTCTTGCGTTCCCACCACTCTGATTAGACTGAGGACATCTCATGGATCAGTGCCCAAAGCACTCAATGCTTCTTCGCAGGCCCCCGGTTTGCCGGGGGGGCTCAAAGCAATCAGGACTGTTTGCAGTTCTGGCTTATTCGCCAGCCCCCAGTTTGCTGGGAGGGGTGGCTCATGGGTCACGTCTCCTTTCCATGTCCTCAGTTGTTCCACTACAGAAGAGGGGCTCCTGCAACCTTGCTCTGAAAACCTCTCCCCTCTGTGTCCCATGGACAGTGTCACCCAGTATCCCAGGGAAAACTGGAGCAGTTTTTGCTGAGCTGTTTGGGGCTGTTGTCCTAAAGCTAAGCAGGGGTGGGGGTGGGGAACAGACAGGTCCTAGGTCTGGTCCCTCATGTCCTTGTCTTGCACGAGGGACAAAGCCTCATTTCCCAGGACATTCAAGCATATTCCAAGCAGAGCCCTCTTCCGGCCCTGATTCTGCCCCTTCTTTCATTTCCTGCTCCTCCTTTTCCCCCCAGCTTCACACTGAGATTCTCACTTCCCCCTTTTTTCTCCTTATTCATTCTTTCATTCAAAACACATTTACTGGGACTTCCCTGATGGTCCACTGGTTAGGACTTCGCCTTCCAATGCAGGGAGTGTGGGTTTGATCCCTGGTTGGGGAGATAAGATCCCACATGCCTCGCGGTCAGAAAACCAAATCATAAAACAAGAAATATTGTAATAAATTCATTAAAGACTTTAAAAATGGTCCACATCAAAAAAGATTTTTTTTTTAAATATTTACTGAGCTCCTGACCCAGGGGAATAAGACAGACAAATCTATGCTTTTCATGAGACTTAATCCACTAGGGGCAAGGAACAGAAAGAAGTAAATGTAATAATAAAAATAAAAAGTAAAATAAATAAAATAAATAAATAAAAATAAAAATAAAAATAAATAAATAAATAAAAATAAAAAATAAAACCCATACTGCCTCCTTGGTTATTACAGATATGAGATTAGGGAACTAATCTGGAAGCAGAGTCCTGTCGCTCTCTCCCCTTCCCCACCTCCTATGCCCTTGCCTACCCTGGGAGGTCACTGTCTGGGAAGGAAGAGCAGTGTCAGAAGTTCTGCATGTAGTGAGGCTGCCGAGGACACCAGCTGGGTGTTAAAGTCCCCTACTATGATTGTGTAACTGTCAATTTCCCCTTTTATGGCTGTTAGCATTTGCCTTATGTATTGAGTTGTCCCTATGTTGGGTGCATAAATATTTACAGTTGTTATATCCTCGTCTTGGATTGATCCCTCGGTCATTATGTAGTGTTCTTCTTTGTCTCTTGGAAGAGTCTTTATTTTAAAGTCTATTTTGTCTGATACGAAAATTGCTACTACAGCTTTCTTTTGATTTCCATTTTCATGGAATATCTTTTTCCATCCCCTCCATGCTGCATGACGTCTAAGCCCAAAAGCCCAAGGAGGAAGTGAGTCTATCTCTTCCCAGGTTTGGTGCCAGACGGAACTCACCTTGGCATGCTAATGCAACGATGAGGCCTGCGTGGGTGAGTCATTCTGCGGGAGCATTATTTTCCCTCTCAAAATCCCTTCTTGGATATGTGAGAAATCCATAGTCCTCCTTTTTATAAAACTCGACTGCAATTCGTGTGAACTTTATTTTGTATGAGATCATCCTTCCCCTGCCTGCCATGATTTACAAATTTATAGCCCAAAACATTTTACCTTGGCTGACAAATGGCACAGAGCCCTAATCTCATATCTGTAATAACCAAGGAGGCAGTACGGGTTGATGGTTAACAGCATGATTTCTGACCAGTGCGTGGGTTGGAATCCTTAGTTGTGACCGTTGGCAAGTAAATTACCCTTGACGTGCCTTCGTTTGGACGCACATAGGCACTCACAAAATAGGTGCTATCATTACATTTACTTCTCTGCTTCCATCCAGGGCAGCTGTTACTGTGACCAGAGGTGAGTGTGCTGGGAAGGGGCTTGAGCCCACCTTTACCAGGAGACTTTGGGTACCTCCAGTCTTGTATCAACCCAGGTCACTCTGAAGCCCCCTAGGACTTAGGCTGGCCGGGCAGTGGGTGGGGCAGAGATGGATAACCAAGGAGGCAGTATGGGCAGAGATGGAAGTGCCCACAGGCTCCTATAGGACAGAGGGCAAGGCTGGGGCAACAGAGAGGTGCCCCTGCCCTCCCCCCACCAGTCCATCATAAATCAGGCAGAGCACTTCCGATTTTCATACTCTGTTTCTCAGAAAGATAGTGGCGTCCCTGGCTCTGCACCTGGTGTTCCCACACTGCCTCCAAGATGTCAGCTAAAGCCATAGAGAGCGGGGAAGGAGATGCCACTGAGCTCAGCCCGCTGGAATATCCCTCTGATGGTGAGTGCTCTAGGGAAGCTCCAGAGGGTGGGGTGGCCCAGGGCTTGGGGTGCCTGAACGAGGGCAGAGGGGGTCTTCTAGGTTCTGGCCTGGACCTGCCACCAGCTGCACTGTGCCCCATCAGATCTCTAACCTCGTGGGCCTCAGACTCCTGCTCTGTGAAGTCTGGAATCTGCCAGCTCTGCGTTGGTGCTGGGTCTCGCTCTCTCTGTCTTCTCCTTGGGTTCACCTCCAAGCATCTTTGTCACCTCTTAGCACAGCTGCCGTTGAGGTCCCCTCCCGACGTCAGAGTTCTTGGGAGTTTCGGGAGATGGTCGAGGGCGCCGTGTGGGGCCTCTGGTCCCTCAGCTGCCCACCCCGCTGGGAGCTCCCCCTCCTCTTTTTTTTTTTTTTTTCCAGAGGAGGATGAACCTTCCCAGTCAACCGACCAGGCCTCTGATGGTTCTCCTGGGAAGCCACCACAGGGGCCACCCCAAGGGCCAGATGGATCTGGCTCTGACCCCAGAGACCCACCCAAGGCTGGAGGAAGCAATTTCGCCCATTACGCAGGTAACTGATCCCTGAGCATCAATCCACGGGCCCTCACCCAACTCCCCACTGCGCAGTTCAGCCTTCTGAGTTGTCAGTGTCAGGCCCACCTTCCTGATAGAATCTCTCTGACACTCACATTGTCAGAAAAAGGGCACAGTATACATGAGAGATGAAATCAATGATGCTCTAGAATCAGAGGAACCACATGTGGACTAGCCACATGTCCCTGAAATGTGGGCCGTGGGACTGAGGAACTGAGTTTTAAATTTTATTTCATTTTAATTAAGATTTACATGGCACACATGGCTAGTGGTTCCTATAGTGGGCAGCATGGGCCTAGTGTATGACCTTGGGTGTGTGTGGCATAGAGTTCAAGATCCTTGGAAGTGAGGCGTGAGAACTTCAAGGCCAGTTTGTTGGAAATATCATCTGTGCAGAAACGGAAACCCTCAAGACAGGTCAGGGGTACTGATGGAGGGAGAGGTGATGGTGAGCCATGAGCTGCAGCCTTCAAGAAATGATGAGGTCTGAGGCTGATTTCGTACCTTCTCTCCCTTGCCTGGGACCAAGGCTCCTCTTCGTGCGGAGCTGGCTGAGCTCACTCCTGCAACTCCTGAAATCTCCAGAACTCCTTGTCCCAGCTGCCCCAGCACCCCAGTCCCTGCCGCTGTCAGATGTCCCTGCCAGCCCCAAGAGCTCTCAGCAATTCGACATGGTCCAGGCATGCTCTGCCCCGTGGTGCCAGGGGCTCCAGCCACAAGGCAGGACACACAGAGGAAGCAGGGTGACTTCTCTCTTTTTTTTTTTTTTGAATTTTTGAATTCTATTTTATTATTTTTTTATACAGCAGGTTCTTCTTAGTTCTCCATTTTATACATATTAGTGTATACATGTCAATCCCAGTCGCGCAATTCATCCCACCAGCACACCCCCCACCACTGTCCCCCCTTGTTCTCTACAACTGTGTCTCTATTTCTGCCCTGTAAACTGGTTTTTCGAGGTTCCACATATATGCGTGAATATACGATATTTGTTTTTCTCTTTCTGACTTACTTCACTCTGTATGATAGACTCTAGATCCATCCACATCACTACAAATGACCCAATTTCGTTCCTTTTTATGGCTGAGTAATATTCCATTGTATATATGTGCCACATCTTCTTTATCCATTCATCTGCTGATGGGTATTTAGGTTGCTTCCATATCCTGCCTATTGTAAATACTGCTGCAGTGAACATTGGGGTGCATGTGTCTTTTTGAATTACGGTTTTCTGTGGGTATATGCTGAGTAGTGGGATTGCTGGGTCATGTGGTAATTCCATTTTTAGTTTTTTAAGGAACCTCCATACTGTTCTCCATAATGGCTGTATCAGTTTACATTCCCACCAACAGTGCAAGAGAGTTCTCTTTTCTCCACACCCTCTCCAGCATTTGTTGTTTGTAGATTTTCTGATGATGCCCATTCTGACCGGCATAAGGTGATACCTCACTGTAGTTTTGATTGCATGTCTCTAATAATTAGTGATGCTGAGCAGCTTTTCATGTGCTTCTTGGCCATCTGTATGTCTTCTTTGGAGAAATGTCTATTTAGGTCTTCTGCCCATTTTTGGATTGGGTTGTTTGTTTTTTTAATATTGAGCTGCGTGAGCTGTTTATATATTTTGGAGATTAATCCTTTGTCCATTGATTCGTTTGCAAATATTTTCTCCCATTCTGAGGGTTGTCTTTTCGTCTTGTTTGTAGTTTCCTTTGCTGTGCAAAAGCTTTTAATTTTCATTAGGTCCTATTAGTTTATTTTTGTTTTTATTTCCATTACTCTAGAAGGTGGATCAAAAAAGATCTTGCTGTGATTTATGTCAAAGAGTGTTCTTCCTATGTCTCCTCTAAGAGTTTTATAGTGTCCGGTCTTACATTTAGGTCTCTAATCCATTTTGAGTTTATTTTTGTGTATGGTGTTAGGGAGTGTTCTAATTTCATTCTTTTACATGTAGCTGTCCAGTTTTCCCAGCACCACTTATTGAAGAGACTGTCTTTTCTCCATTTTATATCCTTGCCTCCTTTGTCATAGATTAGTTGACCATAGGTGTGTGGGTTTATCTCTGGGCTTTCTATCCTGTTCCACTGATCTATATTTCTGTTTTTGTGCCAGTACCATATTGTCTTGATTACTGTAGCTTTGTAGTATAGTCTGAAGTCAGGGAGTCTGATTCCTCCAGCTCTGTTTTTTTTTCCTCAAGACTGCTTTGGCTATTCGGGGTCTTTTGTGTCTCCTACAAATTTTAAGGTTTTTTGTTCTAGTTCTGTAAATAATGCCACTGGTAATTTGACAGGGATTGCATTGAATCTGTAGATTGCTTTGGGTAGTATAGTCATTTTCACAATATTGATTCTTCCAATCCAAGAGCATGGTATATCTCTCCATCTGTTTGTGTCATCTTTGATTTCTTTCATCAGTGTCTTATAGTTTTCTGAGTACAGGTCTTTTACCTCCTTAGGTAGGTTTATTCCTAGATATTTTATTCTTTTTGTTGAAATGGTGAATGGGATTGTTTCCTTAATTTCTCTTTCTGATCTTTCATTGTTAGTGTATAGGAATGCAAGAAATTTCTGTGCATTAATTTTGTATCCTGCAACTTTGCCAAATTCATTGATTACCTGTAGTAGTTTTCTGGTGGCATCTTTAGGATTCTCTATGTATAGTGTCATGTCATCTGAAAACAGTAACAGTTTTACTTCTTCTTTTCCAATTTGGATTGCTTTTATTTCTTTTTCTTCTCTGATTGCCATGGCTAGGACTTCCAAAACTGTGTTGAATAATAGTGGTGAGAATGGACATCCTTTTCTTGTTCCTGATCCTAGAGGAAATGCTTTCAGTTTTTCACCATTGAGGATGATGTTTGCTGTGGGTTTGTCGTATATGGCCTTTATTATGTTGAGGTAGGTTCCCTCTATGCCCACTTTCTGGAGAGTTTTTATCATAAATGGGTGTTGAATTCTGTCAAAAGCTTTTTCTGCATCTATTGAGATGATCATATGGTTTTTCTTCTTCAATTTGTTAATATGGTGTATCACATTGATTGATTTGGATATATTGAAGAATCCTTGCATCCCTGGGATAGATCCCACTTGATCATGGTGTATGATCCTTTTAATGTGTTCTTGGATTCTGTTTGCTAGTATTTTGTTGAGGATTTTTGCATCTCTATTCATCAGTGATATTGGTCTGTAATTTTCTTTTTTTGTAGTATCTTTGTCTGGTTTTGGTATCAGGGTGATGGTGGCCTCATAGAATGAATTTGGGAGTGTTCCTTCCTCTGCAATATTTTGGAAGAGTTTGAGAAGGATGGGTATTAGCTCTTCTCTAAATGTTTAATAGAATTCATCTGTGAAGCCGTCTGGTCCTGGACTTTTGTTTGTTGGAAGATTTTTAATCACCGTTTCAATTTCATTACTTGTGATTGGTCTGTCCATATTTTCTGTTTCTTCCTGGTTCACTCTTGGAAGGTTATACCTAAGAATTTGTCCATTTCTTCCAGGTTGTCCATTTTATTGGCATAGAGTTGCTCGTAGTAGTCTCTCATGATGCTTTGTATTTCTGTGGTGTCCGTTGTAACTTCTCCTTTTTCATCTCTAATTTCATTGATTTGAGTCCTCTCCCTCTTTTTCTTGATGAGTCTGGCTAAAGGTTAATCAATTTTGTTTATCTTCTCAAAGAACCAGCTTTTAGTTTTATTGATCTTTGCTATTATTTTCTCTGTTTCTATTTCATTTATTTCTGCTCTGATCTTTATGATTTCTTTACTTCTACTACTTTGGGTTTTGTTTGTTCTTCTTTGTCTAGTTTCTTTAGGTGTAAGGTTAGATTGTTTATTTGATATTTTTCTTGTTTCTTGAGGTAGGCTTGTATTTCTATTAACTTCCCTCTTAGAACTGCTTTTGCTACATCCCATAGGTTTTGGATCATCGTGTTTTCATTGTAATTTGTCTCTAGGTATTTTTTAATTTCCTTTTTGATTTCTTCACTGATCTCTTGGTGAAGAGATTTAGTAATGTATTGTTTAGCCTCCATGTGTTTGTGTTTCTTACGTTTTCTTTCCCTGTAATTGATTTCTAATCTTATAGCATTGTGGTCGGAAGAGATGCTTGATATGATTTCAGTTTTCTTAAATTTACCAAGGCTTGATTTGTGACCCAAGATGGGATCTATCCTGGAGAATGTTCCATGTGCACTTGAGAAGAAAGTGTAATCTGCTGTTTTTGGATGGAATGTCCTATAAATATCAATTAAATCTATCTGGTCTATTGTATCATTTAAAGCTTGTGTTTCCTTATTAATTTTCTGTCTGGATGATCTGTCCATTGGTGTAAGTGAGGTGTTAAAGTCCCCCACTATTACTGTGTTACTGTCGATTTCCTGTTTTATAGCTGTTAGCAGTTGCCTTATGTATTGAGGTGTTCCTATGTTGGGTGCACGTATATTTATAATTGTTATATCTTCTTCTTGGATTGATCCCTTGATCATTATGTAGTGTCCTTCCTTGTTTCTTGTAACATTCTTTATTTTAAAGTCTATTTTATCTGATATGAGTATTGCTACTCCAGCTTTCTTTTGCTTTTCATTTGCATGGAATATTTTTTTCCATCCCCTCACTTTCAGTCTGTATGTGTCCCTAGGTCTGAAGTGGGTCTCTTGTAGACAGGATATATGTGGGTCTTATTTTTGTATCCATTCAGCGAGCCTGTGTCTTTTGGTTGGAGCATTTAATCCATTTACATTTAAGGTAATTATCGCTATGTATGTTCCTATTACCATTTTCTTAGTTGTTTTGGGTTTGTTTTTGTAGGTCTTTTCCTTCTCTTGTGTTTCCCACTTAGAGAAGTTCCTTTAGCATTTGTTGTATAGCTGGTTTGGTGGTGCTGAATTCTCTTAGCTTTTGCTTGTCTGTAAAGCTTTTGATTTCTCCGTCGAATCTGAATGAGATGTTTGCCAGGTAGAGTAATCTTGGTTGTAGGTTCTTCCCTTTCATCACTTTAAGTATATCATGCCACTCCCTTCTGGCTTGTAGAGCTTCTGCTGAGAAATCAGCTGCTAACCTTATGGGAGTTCCCTTGTATGTTATTTGTTGTTCTTCCCTTGCTGCTTTCAATAATTTTTCTTTGTCTTTAATTTTTGCCAATTTGATTACTATGTGTCTCGGCGTGTTTCTCCTTGGGTTTATCCTGTATTGGACTCTCTATGCTTCCTGAACTTGTGTGGCTATTTCCTTTCCCATGTTAGGGAGGTTTTCAACTATAATCTCTTTGAATATTTTCTTGGGTCCTTTCTCTCTCTCTTCTCCTTCTGGGACCCCTGTAATGCGAATGTTGTCACGTTTAATGTTGTCCCAGAGGTCTCTTAGTCTGTCTTCATTTCTTTTCATTCTTTTTTCTTTATTCTGTTCCACGGCAGTGAATCCCACCATTCTGTCTTCCAGGTCACTTATACGTTCTTCTGCCTCAGTTATTCTGCTATTGAGTCCTTCTAGTGTAGTTTTCATTTCAGTTACTGTATTGTTCATCTCTGTTTGTTTGTTCTTTAATTCTTCTAAGTCTTTGATAAACATTTCTTGCATCTGCTCGATCTTTGCCTCCATTCTTTTTCCAAGGTCCTGGATATCTTCACTATCATTATTCTGAATTCTTTTTCTGGAAAGCACTTCATTTAGTTGTTTTTCTGGGGTTTTACCTTGTTCCTTCATCTGGTACAAAGTCCTCTGCCTTTTCATTTTGTCTAGCTTCTGTGATTGTGGTTTTCATTCCTCAGGCTGCAGGATTGTAGTTCTTCTTGCTTCTGCTGTCTGCCCTCTGGTGGATGAGGCTATCTAAGAGGCTTGTGCAAGGTTCCTGATGGGAGGGACTGGTGGTGGGTAGAGCTGGGTGTTGCTCTGGCGGGTGGAGCTCAGTAAAACTTTATTCTGCTTGTCGGCTGATGGGTGGGGCTGGGTTCCCTCCCTGTTGGTTGTTTGGTCTGAGGTGACCCAAAACCGGAGCCTGCCCAGGCTCTTTGGTGGGGCTAATGGTAGACTCTGGGAGGGCTCACGCCAAGGAGTACTTCCCAGAAGTTCTGCTGCCAGTGTCCTTGTCCCTTAGTGAGCCAAAGCCACCGCTTGCCTCTGCAGGAGACTCTCCAACAGTAGCAGGTAGGTCTGGTTCAGTCTCCCCTGGGGTCACTGCTCCTTCCCCTGGGTCCCGATATGCACACTACTTTGTGTGTGCCCTGCAAAAGTGAAGTCTCTGGGACTTCCCTGGTGGCGCAGCAGTTAAGAATCCGCCTGCCAATGCAGGGGACACGGGTTCCATCCCTGGTCCGGGAAGATCCCACATGCCGCGGAGCACCCAAGCCCATGTGCCACAACTACTGAGCCTGCACTCTGGAGCCTGTGAGCCACAACTACTGAGCCTGCGTGCCACAACTACTGAAGCCCACGCCTAGAGCCCACGCTCTACAACAAGAGAAGCCACCACAATGAGAAGCCTGCGCACTGCAACGAAGAGTAGCCCCCGCTCGCCACAACTAGAGAAAGCCTGCCTGCAGCAACGAAGACCCAACGCAGCCAAAAATAACTAACTAGATAAATTTATAAAAAAGGAAAAAAGAGCGAAGTCTCTGTTTCCCCAGTCCTGTCAAAGTCCTGCAATGAAATCCCGCCAGCCTTCAGAGTGATTCTCTAGGAATTCCTCCTCCCGTTGCCAGACCCCCAGGTTGGGAAGCCTGACGTGGGGTCCAGAACCTTCACTCCAGAGGGCGGACTTCTGTGGTACAATTGTTCTCCAGTTTGTGAGTCACCCACCCAGCAGTTATGGGATTTGAGTTTATTGTGATTGCGCCTCTCCTACCGTCTCGTTGCACCTTCTCCTTTGTCTTTGGATGTGGGGCACCTTCTCCTTTGTCTTTGGATGTGGGGCACCTTTTCTGGTGAGTTCCAGTGTCTTCCTGGCAATGACTGTCAGGAAGCAGTCATTTTCATTTGTATGGAATATTTTTTTCCATCCCCTCACTTTCAGTCTGTATGTATCCCTAGGTCCGAAGTGGGTCTCTTGTAGACAGGATATATGTGGGTCTTATTTTTGTATCCATTCAGCGAGCCTGTGTCTTTTGGTTGGAGCATTTAATCCATTTACATTTAAGGTAATTATTTACCTTATTTAAGGTTCTTGTCACTCGAGGTGACAAGAACCTTGCCAAGAAGGAACCAAAGCAGGGTCCCTTCTGGTGGGGGAATTAGAGATGCTTCCTGCAGAAAGTGACAAGTAGGCTGAGTCCTGGAGGACGGGGGGCTTTCGCTCCAACTGTAGCCTGAGAAGGGTATAGGGTGTCTGGAAGAGGGAAAGACCAGAAAAGTCAAATTTATTCCATCGCAAATGAAAATAGCATGCTTTTCTTGATTTTGTTTTGTTTTGAGAAAATGATACCAAATGTATTGACTTCACAGAGCAGCATGAAACTTTTTCAAGGCAGGTGCCCCTCGCCATCTGGAGCATAACAGAGCTCCAGACTCTCGTCCATCCACCTCTGCATTCTCAGAAAATCAGACTTCTCAGGAAGAGCAGGAAGAGGCCAGGCAGGGGCTGCTCTCTTCTCTGATCCCAACTCCAGGGAACCCCCTCCCACTGTGGCAGCAGCGGGGGTGCAGGGGGAGGCCAGTGCCATGCACTCATGGGGGTGCTTTTTGTCTCCAGGTATGGCCTCTGTAGCCGTGATTGGAGGAGGTGAGTCTCTTTGGGAAGAAACTCAGGCCCTCATCTGACCCTGGGACCACCTGGCCTTGACCAAGCCCAAGATTGCCTTGAGCCCCAGGACATAGGTGGGTAAGGGTGCCGTGGGCAGGGGACAGAGTTGGAACACTCGAGGTGACAAGAACCTTGCCGAGAAGGAACCGAAGCAAAGCCATTCAAAGCACCCAGGTCCAATCTCAGCTTCTCCCAAGTGCAAACCGTGTGATCCAGGCGGGTTGTTAAATCTGTCTCAACCCATGATTCCTCCCCAGAAAGCAGGGCCAGTAGTACCTCCGGAGGGTTGTAGGGGATGTGTCAGCTGAGCTGTAGGGATTCCTCGGACTGCTTTACAAACCCTCTAGCTTATCCTGTGAGCCCAGAGGCTTCCAGCTGTGCCCCTGGCCAGCATCCTCTAACACGGTGGCCAGAATTCAAGAAAATGAAAACATTTCTGTCACACCAGCCACAGTCTCAGGTGCTCATTGGCTACAGGCGGCCAGCGTGTTGGACAGTGCAGATACGGAACGTTTCCTGGTTGCAGAAGGTTCTATGACTGCATTCTCTGGAGATGTAGGGGACCCCTGGGGGGACGCCCACAGGCAGCTGCAGGGCAGAGGGCAGAAGCCACCACCCCAGCACCTCTTCAGAAGAGCAGCTCTGTTCTTATTCTGTGGGCCCTGTGATAGGGGGAAAGACGCTATTTTCCCTGCCAAAAGGGGGCGCTTGAAGACCACTGCTCCTTTAATCTTATTTCACACAAGGGCGGTTGAGGCACAGGGAGGACAGGTGAGCCTTCCAGGACCACAGCAACACAGAGAAATGCACAGGCCTGGGTTCCAGCTTCTTGGCAGGGCCCCGTGCACTCGTGTCCACTTCTACAGCCTTCCTTTGCCTCAGGCCCCGTGGCTCTCACGAGGGCGACGTGGACCCCTCACCTCATCCCCCTCAGGAAGGTATCAGGGAGAACTGGGGAGTCTGTCCCCTGTGGCCAACCCTAAAGCTTCTCTCCCGCTACAGCCGTGGCCGTGGGGGCTGTGCCCGTGGTGCTGGGCGCCATGGGCTTCACCGGGGCAGGAATCGCGGCCTCCTCCTTAGCGGCCAAGATGATGTCAGCGGCCGCCATTGCCAATGGGGGCGGAGTTGCCGCCGGCAGCCTGGTGGCCACTCTCCAGTCCGTGGGTAAGTGTCCGGGCGGGAGGAAGCGGGGAGGGTGTGACACAGCAGCACAGGATTCAGGCCAGAGGCTAAGCCGGAGGGAGGGCCTGTCTGCTTCCTCCAGCTTCGTGGGCATCAATGTCCCTGGTCCTTTGACTCTCCCTCACTGTTCCCTCTTCTGGTTGGGGGTGGGTTTGGGGGCACTGGGGGCGTGCAGCGCAGCAGGTGCGCGTTCCCCATCAGCCCTGCAAACCTGCGTAGGGCCCTCACCTCGCTGGGCCCAGCCTCGTGCTGGGGAGGGAGAGGCAGAGACCCTGTGCCATTTCTCAGAGGGTCTGTCCTGTCGCTGGTGGAGTCACCACCAGAGTGCGTGTCTCCTCTTCGGGCAGCCATGGGCAGCAGCCCCTCCCCAGAGCAGACCTCCTGGGGTTTCAGGAAGTTGAGGAGGGAACAGGACTGGGATGTCTGGGTCTTGGGCCTCCTGTGGGTCCTGGGTTCTCTGACCTCCCCAGTCTTGCCGGGAGCTGCCGGGGCTGCCTGTCCCCTTGTGCTCTAACCCCCTCCTCTCTCCCAGGGGCAGCCGGACTTTCCATGTCATCCAACATCATCCTGGGCTCGGCTGGGTCAGCTCTTGGGGCCTGGCTGTGGGGTAGAAAAAAGAAAGCCCCTTCCTCTCCTCCACCAGGATCCAGTACTGAAGCAGAGAGGGGCTCCCGGGCTGGAGATGACCCTCCAGGGCCTCAGGATGTCAGTCCCCCAAATGACAAGTCCTCTGCCTCCTAAAATCCTTCAAAGAAGCATAGGAAATAAAGAAGAGATGCTGTGACCTTCACGAGTGTCTGCACTGCATTCTTGTCCACCAGGCAGGGCGCAGTGCATCTGCAGAGCCATGGCTTCAGGGTTGGGGGCAGCAGGAAGTCTGTAAGAATGGGCACTGATGTCTGCGACAGGAAGCCAGGTCTGTTGCAGTCCTGCCACCCAGCTGTGATCCTGGGAAGGTCATGCCTCCCCTTTGAGCCTCAGTTTGCTGCTCTTTGGATGGGATCGTGGATCACATGTCTTCAAAGATGTCAGCCAGAGGCAGCAATATAGGATGGCTTGGCCCTGGGGTCAGTTTGAGCCATTGACCCTCAGTTATGAAACACTTTATCCTCAGGGATTCTTGACCCCTCCCCTCCCCACCCAAGACTCTGTGTCTGACTGTATCATGAGTCTAGGAACTCAGCAACACTTGTCTGCCTGGCCTGGTGGCCTTTGGAGCTCTTCAGGTAGGTAGAGAATTTGCATTTCTCCAGAGAGCTCTGTCCCGGTTGGTGTAGAGCTCAGGGTCCTTGGGGTCCAAGGGAGACTGGCCAGAACCTGCAAGGACAGACAGGCCTCCCTCCCCTGGTGGGGCTCCCAAGAGGCTCGTCAGTGCAGAACGCTCAGCTGTCTCCTAAGGCCCACGGGCTGCCTGGCCCTGGGTCAGGTGGCAGGCATTCTATGTGTGTTGACCTGGCCTCTGCCACCTGCCTGTCTGTCCATGCAGATTACCCATACCCAGTTTCTGGCAGCCCTGCTTCCACTTTAGACTGGAGTCTCAGATCTCGTCCTGTTGGCTCCAGGACCCCGGCCCAGGTCCCCACTCTGGCCTTCACCCCCGTCTTCCTTCACGGCCCGTCCTCCACCAGGCTCTCTCCCTCAGATGCTGCCCCAGTTCACTCATACAGCTCCCAGCTAGCCTCAAGGGCTCCCAGAACACAGACAAGCTCAAGACCCACAGGTCAGTTCCACATCTTCAGAAAGTCTGCTCCTGTGGGTAAGACAGGCAGGGGTGGGCAGGGGTGGCTCCTTCCTGCCGCCCCTACCCTCGGGGGGCGGGGAGCTCAGCGAGTGGAGGGGAGACCCGTCTGCATCCACTGGAAGAACTGTCTCATGTTTCTCATCTGGGTGGCTGCAGGCAGAGAAGCTGGGTCTTGGGAGGGAAGTGACTTAAGCCCCCAACTGGGCTCTGGGACTCTGGAAGCCATGAGCCTAGTCCGTGCCCGGGTGACCCTCAAGCCGTGAGCCTGGGTAGGGGGAAGAGACAAGCATTAAGAGGAACCGAATCAGAGCCATTCAAGCCCACGCTTTGGACGCAGCTGGACCTGGGTCGAATCCCGCTTTGCCAAGCCAACCTTTGTGATCTTGGATGAATCTCTTACGCTCTCTGTGCCAGTATTTCCTCATCGTAAATGGGGATAGTAATCTCATCCTTCTCGCTGAGTTAGTGAGGAGAGTGCATGAGAACAGGAACCCAGAACAACCTGACTGTGGTATAGGCCTTAAAAACGTAATTCGTTCTGATTTCCTAATTCTGGCACATTTTAAATTACTCCATGGAGATCTAAGGGAGTTCTAGAAATCTATGTTTCAGGAGGAGGGAAGCAGCCCACCTCGGGAAGTAAAATCTCCCTCCAGCCCCCTCCCCACCTTCCCCTCACACAGGTCCTTCTGTAACCCCAGTACCATATCTTGGACCCTTCCCAGGCCTGCATCTTCCACAAGCTCAGAGCAGCCTCTCTACCCCTTGGAGCCCCTTGAGATTTTTAAGGGCAGTGGGTGTGACCCCAGTTCTGGTGTCCTCATCTCCCTATCAAAGCTCCACTGTTTCAGGAGTTTGGGTGCCGGTCAATTTCTATGCCATAGAATTTACCAGTGCTGTCCTCTTAGCCTCTAACCTGGCTTCCAAGATATTGTCTGCAGGGAGCCTGGTCAAAGTGGGCGGGGCAGCCTCTGGAGGTGTCTTGGCAGGACTTCCTTGGCTAAGTGTTCCTGGCAGGGACTGGTGGGAGCTGGCTTGGGGGCTAGGGAGGGCACAGGGTCCTGCCCAAGGACCCATGGGAGGGGACAACAGCATCACCTTCAGTCTCTCTCCCTCCCCTGTCCTTCCCCTTGGGTGTCCGCCCTGGCTTTCCCTCTGCGAGGGGTCAGAGGGAGGCAGGTCCCTGGGCACAGGGGATCTGGGCGCCCTGCCCTCTCCTTCTTAGAGAGGGGGGGACCCTGCGGCTGAGGCCCACTCTCTGGCTCTCACTTCCCCGGGATTCACCACCAGAATTCTCCTCCTTTAGGTTTTTACCTAAGCGTCCAACCAGCCTTTCGTAAGTTTGTCCTGATGGATCTCAGATCCAGAGCGTTGATTTGAACAAAATTCTTCAATTCAGGCCCATTTTCTTCAATTAGTTCTTGGAAGCCCCCTTTCTGGCTTTATTTATTTATTCTCGCTGTTTATCTTCCCTTTTGCCTGCAATTCCCCCCTCTCATATTAGAACGTCAGCCTTTCTAACATGTTGAACGTGTATCTGTTTTTCGTATATATTTCTGTAAAATGGGTGTCGCTTTTTGTTTGGATGTGTTTTAATTTACATACAGAAGAGTGTACTGTATATCTCATTTTATTTCTTTTATTCCACACTTGACAGCTATGTTTTTGAGATCCCTCAGGGTCGATAGGTGAGCTTCTAATCCTTGCTTTCAATCGCTGCAAAGTGCTCCAGCGTGCATCCGCCACCGTTCAACTTTCTGCCCCTGGGGTGGACCCCCGGGGTCCTCCCACCTCTGCCAACGGAAGCTGTACAGGATGGAATTGGCTGGGGGCTGTGGGCGGTGACACAGCCTCCAACCACTGCCCAACCTCTGACCTCTGACTCCTGTGCATCACCCTCTGTTCTTAGGACTCACCCTGTCATCCAACGCTGCCCTGGCTGGGGCCACATCTACCCTGGGATCCTTGCTGGGGACGCTGAATGGCTCCTACCTGCTAGGATGCCCTGCTGCGGCCCTGACCACTTTCCCACTAGGAGATAACTGGCCCTGGGTGATAGATAACCCTCCTTGGACGCCTACCTGGGCCACAACTGGCAGGAGTCCTCATGGTCAGAAATATGAGGACTCCTCAGCTTACGAGAAACGATTCATAAGATGAAAAGAATCAGAACAGCTGAATTTGATCAAACCCTGTGATATCCTAGTCACTAAGCTTAGCACTTGACATTTATCAATTCACTTAATTCTCATAACAACCCCAGAGAAAGATGATGTTGCCCCTTATTTACAAATGAAGGGAGCATTGTCCACGGGCCCTGAGCTGGGAGGTGAGGTGGGGTGGGTAGCTGTTCCGGAGCCTGGGACAGGAAGTAGAACAGAAAGGCAGGCGCCGGGGCCTGGGAGGAAGGCTCAGGGCAGGGCAGGTTCTGAACAGCCCAGAAGGGCCATGCTCCTCCACTCGGAGATGTCCACTGGGGGAGCCCTGCAGGCAGGCCATCAGACAGACAGCACCCTTTCCCCTGGGCCGTCTGTGTGTTGGGGCCCAGGTGCGCCAAGCTGCTGGCCAGCCTGGCATCGTCTCTCCTCCCAAACAATAATGCTGAGCCTCAAATACCCTTTAACTGGGCTCCTGATTCTTGAGTCTCTGGTTCTGTACCCCAACCAGGTGGCCCACTGGTCACTTAGGGTTTAGCTTTCATACCCCTTAATCTCTGTAATTCCTTCCCTGCCACCCCAAAGCTCTCTTCTTGGGGAGCTGGCTGAGCTCACTCCTGCACACCCTGCTAGTTTTAGAACTACTGGTCCCCGCTGGCTGCTGCAGACCAAGACCTCTGCCAGGGAGTTCCAGGGACTCAGCGTTGGGGAGCCAGGCAACTATGGTCCAGTGTTGTGAGCGGCTCCAGCCACAGGGGATCAAGGATGGTTCTGATTGGGAGGGTCAGGGTCAGCTTTCCAGAGGAAGGGGCAATAGGTGGGGCCTTGGAGAATCAGGAACATTCAATGCGTCCCAGCACTGTTCTCAAGCAGCCTTCAGGCCTTCAGCAGTGCTTGCCCTGATTTCAGCCGGGTCCTGCAAAATGAAACACACCTCTCCACAAGGATTTACTGCTGTCGAAGAGGTTTCCGTGGACGGAAGGAGAAGGTTATATAACGCCCCCCCAAGACACACACTCCGAAAACACCAACCCTATTTCAGATGAACTAACATCCCGGCTCAGAAGGCGTGACACTCACTTCGCCTCTTCCTGCCCCAGTCAAACCACCATGCCCTAAATTACTTTGCCAAGAGTCCCGCATTCACTGTGAAGGGGGCTGCAGCGGCACACCTTCCTTCCCAAATTGGTAAGGTTTTTTGTTGTTTTTTTTTTGACCAAACCTGGCTAGGAAGGCAGAGAGAAAAAAGAACTTCTGTGCTTCCCACAAACAACCCCCAAGCAACCAGTCCGCAGACATTAAAAAACACGCAACAAAACCCCTGTCTGATGGTTGGATTTTTCTGGAACAAGGCCCTCAAACCCCGTCTCCAGATTACTCTAGGCCGACGCATGCAGGTCCACTCAGGACAGGTCATCCGCCTACCCAGCAGCCTTTGCCAAGCTCAGGGCTGTGGCTCACCTTCTCAGGAGGAAGCAGGCAGGGGTCCTTCCTTCCTGTGTCTCCCAGCCTGGGGAAGCCCCCCCATAGGTGGGCTGTGGGCTCAGGGAGTGGAGGGGCAGCCAGTGTGGATCCACTCACAGAATGTTCTTTCGGTTTCCAGCCAAGGCTGCTGCAGCTGTGGCGGGAGGAGGTAAGTCTCTGCCGCGGAAACCTGCGCCTCGTCCATCCCCAGGCCCTGGGACTTGGGGAGCCGCTGGCCTTGCACCTGCCCCAGGCTTCCTGTGCGTTGTAGCGGAGGAGGCGCTACAGTGAGGAAATGGCGAGCTTCCATGTGGCACAGAGGCAGCCCCAGCAGGGGCCCAACCTCCCTGCTGAGCCTCCGCCCCGTGGCTTTGAACTCCTCTGGGTTCAGCTTTCCTCGTGAAAATCAGGCCAAGGCTGCCCATTCAGGGTTATTGTGAGGGTTACGTAGGATGAGACACGCGCACAGTCTGGACCCAGGAGGTGTGTTAAGGGGAAGCCACTGGCTCAGCGACTCTGGCTCCCAGTTGCTCTGCGGTGATGCCGTGGAGACCCAGAGTTGGGATCCAAGCCGGGCTCAGAACGTGCTCCTTGCTTTATGCTGGGCCCTGGGTAGGATTTGCTTGTATTAAAGATGTCCTCAGCGAAGACAAGAAGCTTGCAAACCTCCGCCCCGCCCCCAACTTAGTTCCAGGATTTTACTAAGGCAGAAGCTGAGGCCTTTCCCGAGGAAGGTCCTGCTGCGGATCAGAGGCCTGACCCCGGTGACCCCGCGGCCCTCCCCTCCGCTTTCCCCACCAGCTGTGCTGCCCTCGACTCCTGACTGCGGGCCGGGCCTCGAATCTCTCCCAAGCTCAGGCTTTACCCCTTCTCCAGGCTCCCTGAAGTCCCCCAAGCTTGATGTGCTCTGCGTGTGTGCTGTGGGAGCGTGTCCATCTCCCCCTCAACCCAGCTCCTCGCCCCCTACAGCCCTGTCGTGGGGGCTGTGCCCGTGGTGCTGGGCGCCGTGGGCTTCACCGGGGCAGGAATCACAGCCTCCTCCTTAGCGGCCAAGATGATGTCAGCGGCCGCCATGGCCAACGGGGGCGGAGTTGCCGCCGGCAGCCCGGCGGCCACTCTCCAGTCCGTGGGTGAGTGTCCCCGATGGGGCTTGTTGTGGAAGGTGAGGGAGGACAAGAGCCTCAGAGCATCCAGCCCTGACCTTAGCCCTGGTGAGCCCCAGTCTGCCTGTGCCTTTGTCTCACCCTCCGTGGTCACTCTCTCTCTGGGTCTCTGAAGCAGGTGCGTTGCTGGGGGAAGATGCTCTGGCCTAGGGTGTGCTCAGCTCAGGCTGACTCTGCCCAAAGCAGACTTTCTGAGTTAGCTGGGGCGTCTCTGTCCCACCTGGGGCTCGGCCTTCTTCCCCAGAGAGAGAGGCAGCTCCCAGCACTCAGTTTCACCACCGGAGTTCATGCCTTTGGGTACCTGCTTGCAGCAGCCTTGCCCAAACAGAGATCCTTGGGGGTTGGGGAAACAGAGAAGGGTTCTGGGTGGGATCTCTGGGCCTGAGGTTCTCCTGACAGGCCCTGGAGTCTCGGACCCTATGGTTCTGCCCCACAAGCTGCCCCAGCCTGCCCGTCCCATTCTACTCACCCTCTGCTTCTCCCCCAGGATCAGGTGGACTCTCCCTGTCACCCAAAGTCCTCCTGGGATCCACTGGGTTTGCCCTTGTGTCCCTCGTGGTGGGCTTGTGACAGCTCCCTGTCACTCCCTTTGCAGAGAAGAGGACCAGGTAGTGCCCTGCTCGCCAGCCTGATGCAGGAAGGGACCAAACGCTGCACCCCCAGAGGAAAATAAGAAATAAAAATGAGTTGTTGCAACCCCTCCGCATCCCTTCCTTCTTGTTTGCCTGAAGTCGGGGTGGGGGAAGGCTCACTTCTTTTAGAGCGACATGGTGTCGGGGTGCCCAGAGATGGACTGAGTCAAACGGTGAAGCCTGGAACCTGTCCTTGCCCAGCTTCAGACTCTGTGTGTGACCCCGGGTGGGTCACCTCCGCTCTGGGCCTGCATTCGGCCCTCTCTATATGGGGAGTTGGTCTGAAAGACCTCAAAGGTCCCAGCCAGGGTGGGTGTTTTGGCTCAGTTCCTGTGCAGAGTCAGGAATGGAAGGGGAGGGAGCATCCTGTTTGGAGCCTCATTTGCACGCACCCCACTCCTACCCTCTGCATATGCAATGGCTATTTCCTAAGTGGCCTGGCTGAGGCTCAGAAAGCAGCGGCCCCAGGACGTCACTGTTTCCTCCCAAAGTCAAAGTCCAGCGCCCTGGCCTTTTTCCCCCAACAGCTAGAAAGAAAATCTAGTTTGTCAAGGGCTCTGATCTTTCTGCTTCAGGACCATGGTCCCTAAATATCCTTCTCCCCCCAGTACAAGGTCTTGTAGAAACTTCTCATCGCCAGGATGGGATCTATCCCAGAACATCAGAAAATTCGCTTGCATGTTGATTCACTCCTCCTTTCCACGAACTCTTTGAGCGTGAGCTGTGGGTCAGGCACTGGGCTGTGCACTAGGGAACTTGGCCTTTCCTAGGTAGCACTCTTGGTCTGCTGCGTGGGTGGACCAACAGGCACACAGCCATTGATGTTGCCCTCTGATGACACCAGAGGCCACACCAGGGCTTTGGGGGTGCCCAGAGGGAAGGCACATCACAGCAGTGTCTTAGTCCATTCAGGCTGCTATAACAAAAATACCATAAAATGGGTGACTTATAAACAACAGAAATTTATTCCTCACAGTATTGGAGGCTGAGAAGTCAAGAGATCAAGGCTGCAGCACATTTAGGTTCCTAGGTGGCTGTCTTTTCACTGTGTCCTCACATGATGGAAGGGGAAAGAGAGCTCTTTGTGGCCTCTATTAGAAGGACACTAATCCCATTCAGGAGGGCTCCACCCTCATGATCTAAGCACCTCCCAGTGTTTCCTCCTCCTTATACCATCACCTTGGGGGTTAATATTTCAACTTCTGAATTCTGGGGGGACACAGACATTCAGACCATAGCAAGCATATTGGGGAAGGAGAGCTTGGATTCTATCTGAGGGTTTTGGAGAAACACTGAAGGGTTTTCAACATGACCGTGACCCTACCACAGATCCTATTTTGCATGAAGGGGGACCCCTTCCAGGTCCCGAGAGTGGGCTCTTGTCTAACACTTGGAAATGAATTGTCCAAGGAGACACACGTGCTGACAAAGCAGGTGACTTTATTGGGAAGGGGCGCCCTGGTGGAGAGCAACAGGGTCAGGGAACCCAGGAGAACTGCTCTGCCACGTGGCTCGCAGTCTCAGGTTTTATGGTAATGGGGTTAGCTTCTGGATCGTCTCTGGCCAATCATTCTGACTCAGGGTTCTTCCTGGTGGCGTGGGCATTGCTCAGCCAAGATGGATTCCAGTGAGAAGGATTCTGGGAGTTTGGCAGGACACATGGACGGGCGAATCCTCTCTCCTTTTGACCTTCCTTGAATTCTTCTGGTTAGTGATATCTTGTTAGTTCTGTGTCCTTACCAGGACCTCCTGTTGTAGGATAACTCATGCAAGTGGCTACTATCTTGCCTGGCCAGGGTGGGCAGTTTTGGTCCGTGGTTCCCCTAACACTACACCCCTGCACACCCTGTCCTAGATGCCATCAGCAGCCTGGCAGGATCTCAGTTTCCAACAAGAACCAAACTTGTGAGTCTGGTTTTATGGACCTTTTAAACGTTAACTCATCCGTGTGCTCAAGTGGCTCCTAGTGAGGTCAGTGAAGCATCGTTGTACCCAACCATAGGAGTAAACTCCTTAGGGGAGTAATTAATTCAACACTTGATTCTTTTTCTTTCCGCCATTTTTTTGATGTCTTGGAGAATCTAAGAAAAGCTGTGAACGTTTCCCCCCAAAATGCACACATTCCCAAAATAATGCTCTAACTTCAAGTCCTTCATTAGAGCCTCCGAGGGTCCTCCTGGCGCTAAGGGCAAAAGCCCCGCCTTAACTACAAGTCCGAGTCTCCCACAAGAAGGGCACTTGCTCTGATTTGGATCTGGAAGGATGGAGACCACCTTCCTGGAAGGTCAAGACCATCTGAACTTCTGACTGACAACTATCAGATGATAAAAGCGTGTTATTTTAAGCTGCTAATTGCGTGGTAATTTATTACACAAGACTGGAAACTAATACAGCTTTGATTCCCCCTCTCTCTCTACCCAGCTGAGGTTGTTCACTCAGGAGCTGGCTGAACACACTCTGGCCACCCCAGGATTCCTGAAACTTCTGGCTTCAGCTGGCTCCCACCCTGCCCCTGTGGACTCCTGCCTGCTCTCAGGAGTCCCCAGTGTCAGAAGCCAGGCACATCCACTGATCACCATGTTCCTGCACACAGGGGCCCAGTGTGCTGCAGGGCAGTGAAACAGGAGGGAAGGGGGCAGGGCACAACGTTTCAAAGAATGACACAGCCATGGAGGATGCAACACAAACTGGTTAGAACCTACTGTTTTGCTGAGAGACTTACTCTCAGGTTTCAGGTTCGGAGGATTGTTGGCAAAATAACCACTCTACCCTTAATTAAGTAAGAGATAAGAAAGTCTATTAGGCTAGTTATAAATCGTAGCATGAAGATAAGCAAAATAGTAAGAAATAAATGAATTTACAATCACCAAATTGGGAAAACAGCTACATCTAGATCCAAGCAAGGCTGGGAAGTCCCTTGAATAACGATCCGGAGTCCCGATTGGAAGTAGTAAGTTACAGCATAAGGACAAGCAACATAGCAAGAAATAAATGTATAGACATCACCAAAGTGGGGAAACGCCTACATCCAGCTCCAAGCAACACTGGGAAGTCCCTGGAACAGCGATCTGGAGTCCCAGCTGGAAGGTCCCGAGCAGCGCAGTCACCCCATGGGTGAGGCTTCAGAGTACTGCTCAAAGGAATCCTGTACTTTTTTTTTTTCTTTTTTTAATATATTTATTTATTTATTTTTGGCTGCATTGGGTCTTTGTTGCTGCGCACAGGCTTTCTCTAGTTGCAATGAGCAGGGGCTATACTTCGTTGCGGTGCACGGGCTTCCCAATGTGGTGGCTTCTCTTATTGCAGAGCATGGGCTCTAGGCGCGCAGGCTTCAGTAATTGTGGCACGCAGGCTCAGTAGTTGTGGCTCGCGGGCTCTAGAGCTCAGGCTCAGTAGTTGTGGCACATGGGCTTAGTTGCTCCGCGGCATGTGGGATCTTCCCGGACCGGGGCTCGAACCCGTGTCCCCTGCATTGGCAGGTGGATTCTTAACCACTGCACCACCAGGGACACCCATGAGTCCTGCTTTTAATGCCAAGCCACAAGCTGATAATCACCAGCTTATGTGCAAATATGCAGCTCTGGCTGTTATCAGAAATGTTTTGCTCTCTAGTGTAAGTCTCAGAATGTTCACTGATCCTTGGGAACTGGCCAGATTCCCTAGGCCGAGGGAGCTTCGTGACTTACTCCCTTCCTTATCTGTTGGTTCTGAAGACTTGTTAGTGCTGTTTCTGTTGACCTGCACGTAGTCCAGCAGTTCGGCATGTAGTTCCTTTCAGGGTCTTCTTTTAGTCAAAGGCCTATTATGGCCTCTGAAGCCTGAACAAGCCTGTTAACTTCCCCCACACCTACTAGGCCCAAAAGGGTGGAAGATCCGACTTCCAGTAGACCTGGAGCCTCGTTATATGCTAGCTGTGATACATCAGCACGCTAAGTGACACACATACAGGCACCATGACAGTTCTGAGGCCATTAAAGGGCAAATACTGGGCAGTGGCCAAAATAGGTGGAATAATCCTCAAAACAGTTGGAATACAGTTGGAGCGATCCCCCCACTCATCAGCCTATGACATTACCCAGCCCATAAAGACTAACCACCCCGTATTTCCGGGCCTCTCGCCTTCTGAGACGGCCCACACTCTGTCTGTGGAGTGTGCTTCTCCCAGGGCTGCTCTTGCCTTTTGAGACAGACCGCATTCTGTCTATGGAATGTGTCTCTCTCTAAATAAATCCACTTCTTGCCTATCACTTTGCCTCTTGCTGAATTCCTTCTGTGCTGAAACATAAAGGACCCCAGCTTCATTAAGTCCTGAGACCAGGTGTGTGATCTTAATTAAGATCGTGTGGGTTAGAGTCCCAGCCCGTGGGTTCAAGTCCCAATCTCAGTTTCAGCTGGATTTGAGTCCCATCTGAGTTGTGCAGTTTCAGTAGGACACGGGGAGGCAGAGGCAAATTCTCATTGTGGGGAACCTAGGATAGATTCCTGTCTTCATCAGGGTGGCAGAGGCTGCTAGCAGTCACCCGATGCCTACCCTTTCCTTCTGGTGCATATGAAGAGAGCCCTGATTTTTGGCCAGGTGCATGATTCCCAGCCAAGGATTGCATTCCGAGTCCTCTTGTGGGAAGGTGTGCTCACCAGACTGGGTTCTGGCCAGTGGGATGTGAGTGGAACTGAAGTATGCAACTCTCTGGGTATGCACGTAAGGGGAGTGGGTGAGTCCGCCTTGCCCCTTGGCCCTTTCCCATGGGCTCTGCTGCAGGTGGGGGAGTGACCATCTTCCACCCTGCAGATGACAGCAGCACCTTAAGGAAGCAGAGCAACAAGACTGCAGGAGCCTGGGCCTCCCTGAGCAGAACCACCCCTCCAGCTGAGACACTTACACAACCAAGTAACAGAGGAAGAAACTTCTCTTGTTTAAGCCAAGAGGGCGTCTTTTACAACAAGCAAATGTAGATTTTCATGAACATGGGGGGATCTTTTGATTGCAAGCAGCAGAAGAATCAATCCAACAAAGAGAGTTGCTTTTACCTGTTCCTTCTCAAAATCCCACTAAAATAACAGTAAAGGACTAAAGAAAGGCTTAAATCCACAACAACAAAGAGACAGGAAGAGAA